AAACACTTTAACGGTTTAAAAGGCGATATATGTTAGTATAACTTGTTTGAATATTATTTTTAACTACGGCCCGAGGTTTCGGATGCTTTGTAGTAGTCATTCACGGGGAGACTAAACATGGAGGATGTGTCTGACGTCAAAGTAAAAAACTGCTATCCTAGCGCCACCTGTTCCGTCGAAGTTGGTATTTGGCGAAACGGGCCAGGGCCTGCGTAGAATAATTATTTTGGGCATCAAAATCATCTCATAATTATCTTTGCAATGTTCTTTGTAAATTTTAGCTTTTACTCGCGTCGTCGTCCGCGGCCGCGCTCTTGCAAGTTAAACTTAAGTTAATAAAGCTAGTAGACTCACTAGAGCAACAAGCAACCAGCCATGGCCAGTTGAACTTTTGTGAAGATGAAATGAAGTGTGTCTGCATAGAAAAGGTGTATTTTTTCGTACTTGTAATAATTTCGGCTATAGTAAATACAAATCTCCTTTGTTACAATAAAAATAATACGTAATCAATTACAATTTAGAAATTTATTTTGTTTACGTTGACACTTGATGGATTCAGATTATTGGATGCGGTTGAAAAACCATTAATCAATTTACGTAACATGATTGATCTCTTCACGAACGGATTTGCAGAACAGTTTTCTGCAAATGTACAATAATATAAGTAACATTAATAGGAAAGTGTGTTCACTTTAGTATAAAAATGGTAACGTTATAAGGAAATAATGTGTTTATCTGCAGGAATACTAAAAAATGTCTATTCCTATATATAAAGCTGAAGAGTTTGTTTGTTTGTTTGTTGGAACGCGCTAATCTTAGGAGCTACGTGTTCGAATTGAAAAAGTCTTCTTGTGTTGGTTAAATCATTTGTCGAGGAAGGCTACAAACCATCGCGGTGTAACTAATAGAAGCAAAGATACTGCAGGAAAAGTGAACAAAACATGGGAAATTTTTCACCTCTGTGGGTTTGCGAAAATGGTTTAAGACACCCAAAAAATATGTATAAAATAATGATTCCTCTTTAAATGATCTGAAAAAAAGTCCGTGACGCTATGTTTATCTTTTAAGATTAACTTGCAAGAACGACGGGAAGGGACGCGATCGACGTCGTAGCCAACAGCTTTAGTTTTTAAAGATGACGGGATTTGTAAAAACTAATTTGGATGCCCAAAATAACGATTCTCGCGGACAAAGTCGCTGGCGCAGCTAGTGGTTAATAATTAGCTACGGCAGGGAAATTATAGTTGAAGATGTAAGTTGAAAATCTATTTAGATTAAAAACATTGAAGCAATAATTGGGTGGGAGAACAGCATTATGGATCGCTGTGGTCGTCAATTTGTTTAAATCTACGTAACATGAGAAAAAATAAGGTATTCAAATACTTTAAGAATTTTTTCGAATATATTTATTAGATTTAGAATATAATACAACTATACTTTAATTAGCTCATCTAAGTACAAAAAAACTTTAACATTATAACACTAGTGTTTGTACTCACAAATACTAGTGTTATAATGGATAAGACCTGCTACTCAGCAGGTGCACATTTAATAAAAAAAAACTAAATATCTGTCCTCGACAACCACTGCTGCTTTCGAAAAGTATCGTAGTTAAAAACATAACAGTGTTACTAATTATGGTAATTTTTTACGTTTAAATCTGTTAAAAGTGCTTTATTTTAATTTAGGTATGATAACATCTGAAAGTTTTGTGCTTGATTGTGGCTTTAAATAAAATTTAACAGCTCCTCGTATCAACCACTATGTAATATACTGTGTGATTTAAAAACATTTGAAGAATAACCTTAGTGCTTGCAAACATTCCTATATAAACATAAGTAGACTTTCGTAGTATTTGAATTCACAATGTTTTTGGGATAAACATTCGTGGAATCTGAATAGCATTGTGCCTCTTATGAAAATATGAATAAAAATGAATCTACGATTGAGTCTTACAAAGATCTCAGAAAGGTATCCTCGATAGCAATTCTTTGAACGATGAAGACAAACATGACAATTGTCTTTTTGTGGTTTTCCTTTGTGAGGGCATCAAGCCGAATTCGTCCATTGTTTAGAGTCCTTGAGCTGGGAGAATTGTGGGAAAAAGGTTTTCTTTTCGAAGATATTCGAAAGAATCATAAGAATTTTATTTGCCTCTGAAATGGATAAGGATTGAGATAAGTGGCTGTTATCTTATATTATATTAATATTTAAGTATTTATATTGATACTCTAGACAAGTTTAAGTAAGTCTTGTCACTACTGACAAATCTCAAGTGTTGGACGGGTAACGAGTATGGAGGTCCACTTCGCGCGACGGTGACCGTGTTAGCCGATAAATATTATTACCAATTCACTAAAGATATCCATACTAATATTATAAAGATGAAATTTTATTCTGTTAATGCAGGAGCAAAGTAGTTTGTCTACATGCATTATTTATTAATATTCTCAACTACTAGTTAATAGCTTATGCAAGTAGTAGAAATGTTAGTTAACTTTTTAAAAACTTAAAATTGTATATTATTATAATTTTATTAAATTGTAAATAAGTCCCATGTCTTACATAATAGTGTCTTAGTTAATCATAAGAATTGACAAATTGACATAACTACAATAAACCGCTTCTGAACGCATGTGGTAAAAAAGGAAATGTAAAGAGTATTGAAGACGCCTATATATCGGAAGACAAGCAACCCCAAAATAAAAATAGTCAAAGCTTTTATAATAAATGAGTTATAGTACATAACGAGAATAATGGAAGAATAATTGTATGAAAGAAATGTTTATTGTATGTGTCTATAGTGTTTGTAATAATGGTTTTTCTTTTTATTTTATTATAAAATAAATTGGTAATAGGTCCATTTATATATTTCGCGTTGTAAAACAATAGTATGAGCACATTAAGTTTTTTATTTAGATAAGGAACTCAACGTACATGTCAGCAACACAGTACTTTTGGTGGCCTGTTTATATTGTTTTGTAAATAATTCTCTGTAAAGATACCTGGTGAGACAATTTAACAATGTAAGCGATCCATGCAAAGCAATCACGCGACATACAGTAGTAGTAAAAGTGAATTCCTAAACGGGGTTACAGGACTGTTCGCTATTTATATTGGAATATATTAATTACTAGCAGCACTCGTGACATCGTCCACGTGGAATAGTTATTTTGGGCATCAAAGTTAATTTTAACAACCACCACGTCCGTTGCAGACAACGTCGTCCGCGTCCCATCATGCTTATGGTCATTTAAATAAAACACTTTAACGGTTTAAAACGCGATATATTAGTTAAACTTATTTGGAAATGATTTTTAACTTCGGCCCGACGTTTCGGATGCTTTGCAGCAGCCGTGGTCACGGGGAGACTTTAACTAATATATCGCGTTTGAAACCGTTAATGTGTTTTATTTAAATGTGTACTACTCGCGTAAACTATAGACAGTATTTATACATGCTCATTTTTTTTAATCGTATAAAGAGAAATCATTCTATTATATATTTTTTTTCGGTTTGTTGAACCGTTTTCGCAGCACACACAACAATGTATTTAAACCTTATATACGACCAAAAGCCTAAATTATTCGAACTTTAGCGAACGTTCATTAATATGTACAACACAGAGTTTAAGGGTCACATCTAGCTACGTAAATACAACTGTTAATAAAATTTAGGAGCCCTTTTTGGATGTATTCTAACTAACACAGGGACACAGTGGGATGAATTACAATACATAGTATTTAAGGCAAATATTGTAATTATATTTACATTTCCTTGTATTCATTATTGTGTTCGTCAGTCTAGGTAGCTCTAACTAAAGGCAGAATTCTTAAGGACCCAAGCTCTTCAAGATTCTCTCCGCTGGAGGTGGTATAATGGGATGGACCCACCATTGCGTTTAACAATTATACTACTGATAAAAGAGATAATAAGCGAGCTAGACGACTTTGAAATCATTTAGAAGCACACCTACCTCAAAAATAGAGGTTGGAACTATAATTATTGTATTTTTCTAAATTTAATACAATTTTATCAAGAGCCAGTTTATCAGTAAATTTTTGCCCAATCAATGATTCGAACCTAGGAATTTGTAATCTGAACGAGAGTAAGGAGACTATCATTACTAGATTAACACTAGCACTAATAAGCACATATAAAAATATTTAATGCGATACAGTTTCACATTGAGTTAATGGTTCTAGATGTCGCAAGAAATTAATAAGAAAACCTTGTTAAAAATTTTTTTATCACAATGTTATAAAATATTTAAGATATACATTAAGAGGCATCGAACATAATTACAAACTTTCTTTTAGAAGACTCTTTCGCAAAATGATCGTATTATTCTCTTAACAACTTAAAAATAATATCTTTATAGTTAATCATTATAATAAGAAATTAAATATGGCTTATGAAACTAATGTCAATTGTGAACGAAGTTTGTTTTCTAGTTTAAATAAAATACAAACTTATCATTGGCTCAGTTTTATATAGAATTCTGCTATTTAACCATTGGTGGCGTTAAGAACGTAACACACACGAAATAAATACTGTCTATAGTTTAAGCGAGTAGTACACATTTAAATAAAACACTTTAACAGTTTAAATAAGTTTAACTAATATATCGCGTTTTAAACCGTTAAACTGTTTTATTTAAACACACAAAATAACAAATAAAGTTAAATATCAGAATTAGTAATAATGACGAGCTTTATTAATTGTCAGAAGTAGGTTTTTTTTCGCCCACATCGGCTTATGAATATGATTAGCAAAAAATAGTAGAAAGAGAAAGGAATATAGCCTGAACTAAACTCACGTGTACTTTTTCCTAAAAAACGCATCAAAAATCTATATCCACGTTGACACCCCACTGCGTACGCGCCGATGCGTGTTGATATATAACAGTATATTGCTATGCGTTTCTGCATTTGTTTTGCGAGTGCAACGCTCGTTGCCTGTGATAACTCGTCAGTGTTTGTGTGTGTGAACTTAACAAGATGAAACGGTTTCTGTTATCGCTGCTTTTGATTGGGATCGTGGGAGCAAACGATATTGATAATGGGGTAAGTGATTTTTTTCATTATATGGTGTTAAGATGTCGCTTTTTAAATATATTCAGGGAGAAAATTATTTTTCATCGTATACTAAACATGCGGGTAGATTTAAAACTAAAACTTGAATTTTCTAGTTAATTGTACAAGACAAAAGAAATAATTCACTTAAAGAATTTTATAGCGAGCTTAAGTAAAATTAATCTCTAAATGTATCATTCTACCTCTTTGGAAAGTATGTAATCGTGTATTTAAATATTTTTAATTCTATATTAATGAATTTTATAATGCAAAATATTGATATTAATAAAAATTACAATAATATCAGTGAATAAAGACAACACATTGGGCTTTTACAAAGAAGAATGATTTTTTAGTTTGGTTTCCATATTAATACACAAATTTCGAATTATGGGACTTTTTATAATAATATCACGTATTATTAAATACCAATAAAATCATGTTATAGTATAAATTAAGCTAACGATAAAGTGTTGACCTTGTTTTATGTTTCACTGGGTAAATGTATCATATTTGCAATTAAAATTTCTTAAGTCATAAGCGATAGCGATTAAAAAATTATATTTTACTCAAAGTATTATCTTTTATGACATTTGAAATAATTCCTTTTTAATGTTGTGTATATATATAAATATTTAAAAATTATCATTTTTTTATTAGTTTGTAATAAGATTAACATACAGCACTAAGAATTATAGTTATACGTAGGTTTTAAAAACAATGTAAATTAAAAAAAAAGTAAATCATACAAATGATTAGAATTATCATACATGAATATTCGCTGCATCTTGTAACTCACTCGCGCAGAATACCGCAGTTTTTCTCACTTGGAAAGCGGAAAACTGGTTCGAATCCGTTAATTTCCAGTACGATTACCTTGACATTGAAACTCATTGATTCATTAAGAAACTCATACAATATTCATCTTGCCAATTTAGCTACATATTTAATATGTAGATGAGCTACGCCGTAGCATTGTTAACTACGAAAAATTCTTTGATAAAATCTTGTAGTTAACAAGATCCTAATTTTATACATGCTATATTATTGCTATACCAAGCTAATATTTGTCAAATATTATTGTAATGGTGGTATTATATAAATTAAAAATCGACTCAGATAAAAAAGGAAAAACGAATCTGCGACCACAATGTCATTTCGTTTGAACTGTCAAATCTTGATATGTGTCAAATTGGCTAACCAATTCAAGCAGGCAGTAATAAAGATAAGATAAACATAGGCAATTTGACATAATAGATACTACGGTTGATTCTAAAAGGTACGGTACGGTTTTATCTATTAATGTAGGTAGATATGCATGCCATTTTATACAAAATACGCATAACAAACTTTGCAAAAGGGCGTTCTAAAATGCATAAATAAAACCTGTTGTTAAATCCTGTCTATAGTTTACTAAATGATTTTTAACTTCGGCCCGACGTGTGGGGGGTTTTGCAAAAAAATAAAAAAATAAAAAAAAAAAAATATATTTTTTTGATTTTTTTTTTCAATTATATAAAATACAATTTCCATCCTTCATTTGTTTTAATAGTTATCCTATTAAATGCTTTCCCAAAATTTAAACGTTTACGCGTTAGTTTCATAAAAATTACTTTTATAATTAAATACTGTCTATAGTTTACGCGAGTAGTACACATTCAAATAAAACACTTTAACGGTTTAAAACGCGATATATTAGTTAAACTTATTTGAAAAATGATTTTTAACTTTGGCCCGACGTTCTCCCCGTGACCACGGCTGCTGCAAAGCATATTCAGAAAATTATAAAAGCATTTACACGTTAAACGTCGAATATTAGTTAAACTTATTTGAAATGTTATATATTGAACGATTTTTAACTTCGGCCCGACGTTTCGGATGCTTTGCAGCAGCCTGGTCACGGGGAGAACGTCGGGCCATTAAAAATCATTTTTCAAATAAGTTTATCTGATATATCGCGTTTTAAACCGTTAAAGTGTTTTATTTAAATACTTTTATAATTGTCTGAAACAAAATTTTATTTCATTTTCGTTTAATAAAATTTATAAAAACGTATCTCTTGAAATACCTAGCTAGATCTGTCTCTAAGCAACCATTAAGAAACTTTGTTAGTAAAAGTTTACCGAAACTTTCTAGTTCTTCCGTCTTTTTACATTTTTCATTGTTGAATCGTGTGAAAAATCCACTGCTTTGTATAGTTGATATGCTTATAGCCTTGAATGCAACGTGTGAGAAGGTATTTAGACTGTCTAATAACTTTCTTTTAAAAGAAAACTTTGCATCTTGTTTTTTTAATGATTGAATTTTAATCAATGACTTTAATTAATATATTTTTAAGTTACAAATTGCAGCAGATAATTCTGATTTTGATTTGTTTTATTTATTAAACAACCTCAGATTACTAAAGGGTAAAGTGTTTTGTGATATTTTATTTCGAATAAAATATGTTTTAAAGGTTTAATAATTACGTTTTCCACAGAATATTGTTACAATAGAGGTTCTATTTAAAAGCTAAAAGGAAGCCATGTTAATTTAAAATGCACGGGTTTTTAGTAATTAGCAAGTGGTTCAGGAACCCTGTGGATGCCGGGTCAAGACTCGCTCGTGTTGTATTTTTTTTTCAATCTAAATAGATTTTTAATTTATATAATACCATAATGTGCAATCAAATGTGTATAATATTTTTTTAACCAAGGTGGTTTAGAACCTAGAGACGGCCATAGGATAAACTTTGTTACATATTGCGCGTGTCCACGTAAATTAAAACATGAAGATCGCTTATCTAATTACAATTATTTTATACAAATGATAACGCTTCATTACATAACGCATAACGGATCTTAGGGCCTTATTTGAATGAATTAGATATTTATAAAATACTAATCTATGTCTAATCTTAATTTTGCTCGTAATTCTACTTCCTATCGTATTTGTTTAATTTTGTGGTTTTTACTACGTTGAATACATTCGTTATTCCCTTTGTGCTGATTAGCTCTGAATATTCAATTTCAGATGACAGAGGAGACGTTGAAACGCGGCTTAAGCAACAAGTGCGCGTCACGGGAGACATCGTCCTGTATTGCTGTTGAGATGGTGGGATATGTCGACCGTATGCTCAGAACAGCTGCTTTCCAACTCAGCGATGATATGATGATTGTTGATGAAAGGTAAGCGATTTAACAGTTACTTCTATCTAGCTATCTATACTAATACTATAGAAAGAGTTTGTATTTGTTTGAACGTGCTAATCTAAGGAACTACTATCGAGTAAGGCTATAAGTTATAAAACATCAAACTACGACAAAAAGGGACTGAAAAAACGGTAGGAAATGTGGAACAATGGAAACGAGGAAAATTATTCATCTTTGAGATTTTCCGTTGTGTGCGTTTCAAAAACGGTTCTAGATATCCAATATATATACTATTTTGAATGAATGATTCCTCTTTAAATTATCTAAAAATGTTCTCGATGTCTATCTTTTAATATTAACTTGCAAGAACAACGGGACACGAACGATGCCGTGGGTAACAGCTTTAATTTATAAGATGGGAGGTAGGTTTGCAAAACGAATTTTGGCGCCTAAAATAACTATTCTACGCTAACGAATTGTCGCCGGAACAGCTAGTCAACTATAAACATAAGCTATACCAGTTATGTTATTCTTTTTTTACATACTTACTTAAAGACCTTAATTTTTTTGTGTCTTTAATAACTAAAAGAAATGACTACTTACTTACTACTTTTTTTATATGAATACGCTAAACTACTGCCAGCGTTTAAATGCGGTGTTTGTTTTTACAATATGTACCAAATATTATTACCCCAATAAAATAATAATTCATTATTCACAATAATACTATAAATTTGGTCAAAATTACGTGTTTCTGAAAATTTTCTAGAACTTTTTGTAAATTATATAAAGTTTACATAAAAACACGACAATCATTATGAATCTATGAAATTAGGGAGGTACATCTGAGCCTAGTTACAACGAATTAAGGCTCTATTGTATGTTCATCAAGTTAATTAATTACATTCAACACCTTCTACTGTGCACATATATTATAAAGTTTGGCACAATACATTAATGATTAATGTACAGACGAGGCGAGAAAATGTTTAACACATCTAAATTTAGTAGATATTATTTCTCTATTCTTCAATAATATGAATCTCTCATAAAACCACTTTTGACGGTTTAAAACGCTACATAATAAATATTAGTTATAACTGTTTTTAACTACGGCTTGACAATACTGATGCTTTGTAGCAGCCGTGGTCACGCGGGGACTTCCCGTTTTAAACCGTTAAAAGTGTTTTCTTTAAATTACTAATAATACATTTCACTTTACAACTTTGAATGAATACAATTGCATTAAAAACAAATGTAAAATTTTGAAGTACATGGAATTTTAGGCCCTTTTGTACTTATTAAAGGTTTGGAAATATCTAAAAATTGTTTGCACCCGACTATACAGCCAAAGTGTTTTCTCTAATTAATACAGATTTCATGCGAATTCAGCTTGAATAGTAAATCGCAGTGATGTATCGAGCGGGAAAGATTAATCACACGGGCTGTGTCGCGTCATAGGGCCCTCGTACACACGGCACCGTCTTAAAAGCAAAACACCAGTACCGGCTTAAACCTTGCAGTATTCATACATTTTATTTTAACGTGTGACATCCAGACGCGTATAGGTGAAGCCAAATCGTTTGAAGTATAAAGTAAAACAATACTAGAGGCGAAATTTTGCAGCTGTACCCAGTGTGCGACGACCCTTAATTACTATTACAGCTTACTCGTACTGAAACTAATTCAACACTTAATCTATGTAATCTATCTGCGTATTAGGTAACAGACTCTTCTAGGAATAAATTTCCCGGCTCGTAAATATTAAGGAATATAAACCTTCAAATAATTTATCTTCTACGGGGAATACATTATATTCTACTTTCGATATAATTAATTAATTTGAAACGTTGCACAGTCCGATAGAATTCTTAAATAGACGTATTTCGTACGGTACATAAGACTATACTAATAGTCCTAATCGAATTAAAACACGGAACGGTTAAAGCGATCCAAACGTTTTACCTACTTTTACGCAGTAGCTCGCCACAGTAGCAGTAACATACCCGGAACCGGCTAGTTTTGCCAAAGAGATGGCGCTAGCGTGGCAGTTTTCACTTTGACATTTAAGACTCCCTCCATTTTTAGTCGCCGCGTGACCATGGCTACTGCAAAACATCCGAGACGTCTAGGCGTAGTTAAAATAATTTTCAAATAAATTTAACTAATATATTTCGCGTTTGAAACTTCTGTATTTTATTAATACGCCCGAAATATTCACAATTATTTCACGACTTTATTTTCGAAAAACTTAAGGGTACTAAAAAGAATGCTTTATATTTCGCTAGTCCGCTAGCGTATAGCCTTGTCGGTTATATGAACTCGTAAACAAGATTTCACAATGAATAATGAATTTGAATGCACGAATTGGGAATTATTATTAAATAATAGACTCGGCAGTCGCCAGTACTATAATAGGTGCGCTGATTTCAATTCGAAACCTTTGGAATTGAATACTCAAAATGTCCGCTAAATTCTCACCAATAATACTTATTCGTCGCTATTTGCTGCTCTAATTGTGGCAGGGCCGATTTGTTATGTGTTTACATTCAAATATCTATTTTGTTTATTAATAAAACTTTATATATATTTGAATTCTAATATTCACGACTTGGTATAAGATACAAAAATCGTTTGAATTATTATTAGTTTCTGTATTTCGTGTTAAACCGTTAAAAATACACTATGACTTATATATTATTAAATTATACTATTTAGTTTGTATTATTTGCTTTATCTCCGTCGGTTTGCAATAAAGGAAAGAAATTAAATGAACTTGGGCGGGTGTTTTTTACTTTTTATTTCTCCAAAGTTTAAGTACCGATTACTTGCGTAGTATGAAAAAATGTTATATAAAAAAAATTACAAGAGAGAAAGGCACAGAACTAAGGTAGCTTTATGAATATAGGCACAGAATTAAGGTTAGCTTCTGTAAATCAATAGAATACGATAAGATTGGCGCAAGAAAATGTAAATTTTCCTTAATATTTCCAGCAATGGCGCAGCTGCTGAGATCCCAATCAAACCAGAATCCTTAGCAAGAGCCGGAACATCCCTCGAAGACCAGGCACAGCAAGTGATCATGGATAAACTGTGGAACTTCGCCACTACCAGGTCTTTGAGGTACAGAATCTTGGACAACGCTGACGTGGTTATTGCAGGCAGACAAGAGAAGGATGGAAGCTTAGGTGTTGGTTAGTATCACATAATAATATAAAAATAATAAGTATAAAATTTTAAAATCGCCTAAAGAAAACAATCTGTTTATATTAGTTTACAATTGTTTTGATCACATAAAATTCTATCAAAATTTACTTCACTAAGCTGAATCAGTACAATGTTGTTGGTTAGTAAACTAGCCAGAGTTTAAAATTCCCAGATTCGAATCATCTTAGCAACATAAAACAATAATTAATTTTTAACCCACGTATACTATGTAGCTGTAGGAATACCAAATAAACAATTAAATCAATAAAGTCCACTACGACGTAAGAGTAGCGTGGTGCGTCTAAGTCCTTATTCCCTCATTTTGAGTATTAGATTTAGATCGTGGTCTCTGAAACATTAATATGCTGTAATAAATGCCTCATTTCCGAGGTTTAAGCACGAAGCCAACATACGAAATTACACTAGCGACGAACATGTTAAATATCACCTGCAGGGTATATTTAATATAGTTTCTGAATTCGGAACAAGGGATTCCCTTAACATAATGTGAAAAACAATATGACGTAATTGGAATTTTTCCGATGGAATTTATCGTTTTCAGAAGCTATTGTATGTCTGGCATTTTAATTATTGTTTAGTGAAAAAGGAATTTTCGTTTTGTATAACATAAAAGAGATCGTTGCTAAGATGAATTAATACTCATTAATGATGTATACGCGTTTATTTCATTTCAATTTAATATTGAAAATAAATACTAGCATTTTTAGCATAATCAATCAAATCATATGACTATACAAAAGCACATTCCATTCGTTCTTTTATATCAGTTTCAATAAATTACTTTATAATTAGAAAACGAATGCTTTGCTTAAAACTTGTTTATATTACGTATACCTAGTAGTAAACTTTCAAAATAAGTACAGAGAGTTGATTTTACATTTAGATTTTAGACTGAAAAAAATTACGACACGACAGGACTTCAATCGGTGTACACAGTATGTTGATCTAACCAATCGAGCTACCGTTTAGCAGCTTAGTTTTACTTTTATAGTTTCAGCATTTTTGAAGCTCCATTTTCTCATTCCAGGTGTATCAATGAAAGCTCCAAAAGTATTCGAGACCGGCAGACAACGTAACAAGAACATGGGACCGTTCCTCGCTGCTGCCGCCATGAAATTTGGTCTCCTTGGCGCCTTGACTTTCAAGGGTCTCTACCTGATGGTCGGGAAGGCTCTCCTCATCTCCAAGATCGCTCTTCTCCTCGCTACCATCATCGGCTTGAAGAAACTATTCTCTCCTCAGGTGACAGACTAGTTCGTTCTTATTGCATGATGGTTTCATTTATTGTCTATGACTGACTGAGAAATGAGTTTAAGAGAAGAGTTTTAGAAGCTCTTGACTCCTTTGAGTTGCTTCTTCATCCACTATCAAAGATGATCTAGGTTCAAATTAATGAATAGTCTTTATTTACGAACCAATAAACTTATCTTAAACAGTGAAGTGTATAACAATATAAGATATATAAGGTGTAAAATAATTTAAGATTTTTAATAAGGAAACTGTAAATATCATTATACACTTCACAGTTTAAGATAAATTAATTGGTTCGTAAATAAAGGCTATTCATTCATTAAATTCTATTAAGATTATATCAAAATTCATAATTTGATATATAGTATTCGTGGTATATAGTAACTTATTAAACTTTAAAGCCAGCATCTGCATACTTGAAGACTTCCATGTGGATAGTTCTATTAAAGCAAAACTGAGCGAGACTGGAAACTTTGAATGGATTATTAATTCAGATGAGAATATCTATAGCGCACTTGTATTTCTTTGAAAAAATGTATTGCATCTAGTCGTTGTTACAGTTCCTTTGTAATCCTTATTTAATTGAATTTCTCAATTTCACATTATTGTACTATTTTTGTTCTCTCAAACTTAACAAAGAGAACTATCAGAGTCAATTTGAAAATTATTTGAAAGAGTTCAAGAACCACAAGCATTATAAGATATCGATAGAAGAATAAAATTCCAAGCATTTCTATTTCACAAGAAACTTAAACTAATTATCATATTTCAAACGAAACACACATTAAACGACTTCGTTGTTCTTATTTCAAAATAATTTAATAACACAACGATCAAAAGGATTCCATTATGAGGATTTGAAATAAATTAACATATCTTTCCGTGTCAATAACTTTTGTAGTTGGTCTAGCTTTAGTTCAATTTAATTAAAACTCTTCTCTAAGTCCTTTGTATGCTTGCATGGCATAACAATGCAGCATTTCTCGTCAGTCAAGCATGGAAGCATGTGCATGATTAAATTCAATTGAAACTTTAATGTCTTTTATTTCACCTAAATTTTAATTAAACAGAACTCTTGTTATTTCTTTACTTGAATAAGTTATTGCTCCTTTATTATATGTTTTTATTGTTTATTATGTAAAACTTAAAGTTAATTTAATGTTATTTCAAATAAGAAAACATTTTTGACATTTTTTCTCTTTTATGTGTTTAACGTATCACACAAAAAAAACTTTTGTATTTTAATTTGTTATAAAGTCATTCTGACGGTTTGCTTCAATATTTAGCCTTTTTATAGAATATGTTTCTATTTAACTTTACTTACACATAACCCTTAATTTACACAACAGCGCGTGTGTAAAATGACAATCGTTTAAAAAGAATTGATTTTCGAATACATTTCAGGCTATCATCAAAAAGGACTAAATCATTTCGGTGAATGTGACCTGACGGAGTTTTGGCGAACGGTGAAGGACTAATAAGCTAACTAATGGCAAAGTTACGCATTAACGAATGGAATGGTAGCGCAATTTGCGCTGGAAAGCTGGCTCAAAATTCGAGCCATAACTAAAAGCTTCATTATGGCTTTCGCGATGTTGAAATGACCAATGCTGCGACAGAATCGTTAGTTCGTAACTTTGTCGTTCCCGAACGTGTAAATAATATTTATTTATTTAATGGTAATTCTACTAACTTGTACAACAATACTAGTTTCGCATTTAGACAGAGCTAAGCGGCTTGAATAATTGTATAAAATGTACTGACGGTTATTTATTGTGGATTAAATTATTATTCACTAATATAGAATTTAATTCTAACCCCGCAACAGGTTTAACTGCTACTAAAATTCGAGAAAGCTATGTAAATGGTTTTATTTCTATAAAGGTACGTAAGTAGTAATACTTTGTTTATTATAGGATGAGACAATTCGCACTTCACGCCTATGAAGATATTTCCTTATGGTAAAGTAAATAATAATGTTGATCCCACAACTGGGACTATTGCTTCCTCATAGCAGAGCACGTGCAAAAATTAGCACAATGATAAAAAATGTGCAGGTGGGAATCGAACGCCCATATCCTTTAATAAACAAAGTATGATATAATTTAATTCGCCCCATGGTGCAACTAATTTGAATTTCAGTTAATTTAATAAATATTTGAATTTTCCCCTCCGCTTTTCATCTTAACAAGTAATTCTCTTTATAAGTACGTGCTAAGTTTGCATAATCAAATAAATTGGTATACTTGCGCGAAAATACCTTAATACTTAAGGTAAATGCTACAATTTCCCGTATAATCAGGTGGGTTCATAATTTCCTTACTAATTCATCTAAAAGTTATAGCTGGTAGTAGTAGTATAAAAGCTTAAAGATATTGTTTTAATGGTTAACTAGGTAGAATACATAAGAAAAAGATCAGATAAAAAAATCGACTCGATTTGTCTGTTTGTACATGTTGGGTCAAGGCCCGCTAGTGTCGTAATTTTCTTTTTGTCAATCTAAATACTTTTTTTTATTTATATACATGTGAAAAATTAAATTTTTGCAGAAGAGTTACATATATCATTGTCTTTCGGGCTGTTCGGCCGACGTGAACGAGAAGAGGTTCTCGACGTTTCACCATCACGTGCGGACTGCGATGGATGGACGGATATTGATCCTTCGACCAATAGAGGTGTTAACATCACTTGATGATGCCGTCCTCACGTGATGGCGAAACGTCGAGAACCTCTTCTCGCTCACGTGGGCCGAACGGCCCGAAAGACAATGATATGCTGAACGATGGTCGTGAAAGCCTTACATCATTTAGAGTTACATATATCAATAAGATTTTACAAGATAGCGTTCTCAATCATACATTGTTGAATGTATAATTGAAATACAATACTATTAATTATCATAATAGTAAAAAAATATATAATTGAATAAGCAATAATTAGAATATTGAATAACAACTATTGTATCTAACTATTTGATTAGCCTTTCTATGCAGTCACATTTCAACTAACATTTTTAAATAATGACGTATGTTCTATAAGCCATAACTTCCCTTCATTTTTTTACGATAGAGAAGGACAGACTAGTATGGCGTACACTTGGTAGATACCCAACCATATAACATCTGAACTAGATGCGCTATCGACCCATATTGGCTTTGGATATTCGGAAATCCACAGATTGAAAGCGAAACGCAATTAACATGTTTCAGAAAAATTATAAATTGATTAGACACATGTAGGACCCGATTGGGCCCAAACCCACGACCACCGATTATTAAGCATTACACCAGCGAGCTCGTCAACTTTTTAGATGCGTATTAACAAAATAGGCGCTTTGACGCAATAACATTTCTTTCAAGTATGTAAGACAATACCAACTCAAAGAGTATTTTCGACAACTCTACAATATTTTAGACAAGAAGTAAATGAAGAAAGTAATAATGTTACTTAGTAACTTCGTAAGTGAGTTATGAGATGTTTCAAGTGACGGACATTTTAAGTGAGGGTCCCTAACTATTGTTATAACTTATATGAAACTTGGGTAATTACGTTTGTCAACATTTTATAGATGGTGTTGTGATATTAGATTTATCATTAATATAAAGTCTTTGAAATATTATTAGTGTGATAACGGATGGTCAAATATATCCAGATTCCCAAACGAAGTCTAAAAATTATAAATTAACTAGAAGCATGTTGTCCTTGGTGGGGATCGAACCAACGACCCGACATTGACTATCAGACCAAAGAATCTGAAAAATGACTTGTCTCAAAAGCTATATGTATGGTTTTAGCTATAATAATGAAGCTAATTATAGTCGTCATTGATATTTTAGGCCAGTCCTGATTAATATAACCTCTGCAATGTACTATATCGATGACTGATTCCGTAAATCGATAGTAATTGTGCTGACCTGGTTTCGAATCCTGGGAAAAGATGTAAAAACTGTTAGAGAAATGGACACAGAAATGACTTTGCCCCATGGGGGAGACGGGTTTTCACATGCTTTTGGCATATTATTTTCAAGATAGAAAGAATAAATAAACTTTTCTCTATTGATACCTAAGCATCTGAACGTAGCAGGTTAGGTTATTTAAATTTTCAATACAGCGCACCTGTACCGCAGTTTTATCCTTTTATGTTTTCCAATTTTTAGCAGAAAGGCGGGTTCAGAACTTCAATAAAGATTAAATATAACGCTTCAAAGCTTCTCAATTTCCCCGTCTGTTTGTTCGGGGATATATTAAAATGATATAATAATATTTCGTACTGCGACAGGATACATTTTAGCTGTATTAAAATTATACTGTACTAGCTGTGTCAGCAACTTCGTTTGCGTAGAATAGTTAATTTTCCCGATTTTCTCTACATTTCCCGCATTTTTTTTTGCTCCTATTAGCTGCAGAGCGACATCTCATCTAGATTAGACGTTATATGGCTGGGGTATCAACTTAGCACCTATGAAGTGAACTTCATGCTCTTTTGTCTACCTCCAATAATAAAAATAATAATATTGAGTAAAATCGGTGTTAGGAAAGATTCAAATTATAATAAAATACTTTTAATGCTTTAAAACGAGAAATGTATTAATTAACTTCCGGGGGGGACACTCCCCCGTAACTACGACTGCTACAAAGCATCCGAAACGTCGCGGCGTAGTTAAAATACACTGTAAATAAGTTAATTAAGAGATTTAGCGTTTTAAACCGTTCAAATTGTATATGTACTACTTGAGTAAACGACAATACATACATATGTAAGTTCAAGCGTTAGTTGGTTCAAAAATCGTATTCAGTACTTCCCATTTTTAGTATTTTGGTGATTATGTACTCAGTGAAACAAAGATATCTGTGAATTATTAGTATTTTACTGTTCTGAGAAAATGTATATTCTGTTTCTAACATCGTAAAAGGTTAGTCTATTTCTGTACTAAAGATTCTATTTAAACAGCTCAACAACGTGACCTACGAAGTGTTTACGGATAAACATTCAAACAGGGACGCCTGGGAGTCGACAGAAGAGGATTTTAATAAATATCCATATGATCATCCGTAATAAACGTTTTAGTTCACTTTTTGTTTTTGTTTCACCTGTTGTAAATGCCGCCTTTGAATACATATTGGTCTATTTTACGCATTGAGACTTTTTGTAGATTTTAGCGTGCTTATCTCAAGATTAAATTGTTTTACAAAAAAATAAAAATAATGCTTTTAAAATAAATTAATGAATTTATAGTATATATATATACTTAAATAAAAAAAGAACAAAAAGTCGTGTCAAATGGAAGTAACCCCATTTTCTTCTAAAAGAGCTAAGCGAAGTCAAAGAACTTTGAATGTATAACATTTTTCAAATCAAGGTATTGCTTTGTCTATGGAATGAATAATACATGTTCTGTAAATGTAATATACATATTTTGTTTAATATATATAACGTATAGATATAGATCATATTTTTATCTTTCAAACCAAGAGTTCCATAGCTAAGTACAGAATTTGTCGCGCATTGGAAAGAATGTAAGAACATAAACCCACCATGCCACATGTGAGCTTATTTGTGATGATAACCGGGATCAATAGTCTCCAAAGCATTGAGACGATGGAATTCTGGCGAGCTAAGATTTCACCCGACCCAGACGTCAAACCCGGAACCACAAAACTTGCATGCTAGAGCATTTAAAGTATTTGTTTATTCAAACTAGTAAATCAAAAGATACATTTAGTTTAATAGTCCAGAATAGATGTAAAATGTGGGTATGTAATTGGAATACAAAAATGGTCTTCAGCTAGACTTCACTAGCTTGACTTACAATTCAAGACATGAATATTTAATTAAACAAAAGCGAGCTAATTAAAAGAGAATTTACAAAAATATAATTTGTAGGTTGATTTTATTAATCGAGGCTTCTCAGTAACTCCATTATATTTTTATGTAGCGGCTAATTTTATGCAAACGTAATTTTAAAAAATGTAATTATTCGGCACGTTCATTATATTTTAATGAAAGGTAGGATTAATTCCTTGAAACCCCTTTGTTGTAGTTTTTTGTTAGCGAAATCTGTATTTTCGTTTTGGTTTAAAATAATAGAATGTAATATCATTATGCTTTTATAAATAATTTAAATAACGAGATCTTATTCTGACGTTAAATATATTTTTGTTTGGTTTGATAAGTGAACCTTACGTTCAGTGGCAAAGTATGTAATGTACCGGAACGTCTTAGTATTGTAACAAAGCTATCGTCTGTTGACACTATTATCTTCTTAAAGGGTAATAAAAAGTAAATAATTTATCAACAATTTTATTTCACTAGGTGCTGAATAAATAAGCCTTAACAACACTTATCCTTAAAATAAATTAACTTATTTTATTTCATAACAAAGTCGACGGGCTCGCGCTTACAAATACCTCAGTTAAGTTAACAAGTTGAGCAATTTTAATCAGTCTTCAAGACTCGGCGCGCAATGCTTCAAATCAACTGGACAAGAAATTTGTAGAAGGCTCAATCAAAACAAGAAGACCGAAATGGTCCAGTTAATTGGAAACACTGCGGCTGATTCACACGCTAAATGTCAGATCACCACGCTAGAAGAATCTAGAGGAATCGGATCAAGCAATCGCGTGGTAATCTGACATTTAGCCTATTTAGAACTAAACGACGCCACTTGATCCAATTATGATCCTGATGTCCAATTATGTCATTGATTGGCCGGCATGGTCAGCGATGGGCTAAACATGGGCATCTGGTCCGCCATGTTTTGAGGCAAGGTATACAGGGGCATGGGCATGGACTCGGCGCTTAGCGGCGGCGGTGCGAGGCCGAATAGATATCTGAAGTACCGCGCGAGCTTCCATAAAATATTGGACGTCTCCGGTACCCTGCAGCATACAATAATATATACATACATGCAAATATCAAGTCAAATGATTGTTAGACGGCAGCTAACCCATTTCGATGACTATATGATAAATGCTCATGATCTTAGCTCGTCGCATGCACAATCATTATCATTGCCATTTACAAGAACCCAAAATACATCATATCTCGTGATGTGACCCTTCACCAATTACATATGATATTGTTTTTAGTGAATAAAGAACCGCGATGTCGAGTTATGTGTTTCCGTGTCGTTTGCTGTTACTTTCTCAGACCAATGGCTGTGCAGTATTCCCTTCTTCGTTTTCTTCTTTTTTAGTTTAGTATGTTTAGTGTTTTTACTGAAAAAGTTTATAATATCTTCGTGAATTTGAACGAAAGTATCAAACGCATCTAGGCAAGACATTAGCAAATGATATGTTAAAGTGTAATAGATAGGAGTATCACCTTTTGGCTTTAAAGCTGATTTAATCATTTTATTGAGGTAATCCCGTGCAAAACTAATCGTGTTTTCAAAAGGAGACTTTTGTTTTTTCGAGCGACCATCTAATTGAAAATCATTACTAGAATTGTTAAAGTCTAAACTACGTTTAGGTCTTTTACGCTTCTTTTTTAAAACCTTCTTAACTTCTGACTCAGTTTTATTACCTTGAGCTTTTGAGTCGTCTGCCTTGTACACGATTATGGGTTTCCAATCGCTTGGCTCTGGTATCATAGTCACGTTGCTTATTTCAATAGTCATATTGGTTCTCAGTTCAGTCCTTCTATATGGTAACAGCCTACTATTATTGGGTCGCACAGCAAACATGGCAGGATTTACGTAATATTTTATTCTAGGATAGTAATAAGTGTACGGGTAATTGAATTTATATTTTTTCGTTTTGATGTAGTCCCGAAAATCCTTATTATGCTTAAGTCTGTCTAAATCTAGGTTCAACTCTGTATACTTCTTTGGTCTCTGTCTTGGTATTTTTTTATAATATGACATCTTTCTTTGGGCTATATGCCTCGGTTGCGGGAGTAGGATCTCTCGTGGTTTCTTCGTTTTCTCTTCGAGGACTTCGTTTTCTACGCTCTTTGCGGTCGATACGTCGGATTTGAGGCCTCTGAAATTCGCTGGCATAGCGTCGAAAAATACACTAGCGATCGGATCGACGAAGCTTCTTATTTTGTTAACGACTGGCTCTAAAAATTTGAGCAGTGCAGACTTACCATCCCATCTTTCTGCTGCTCGCGTCGAGTTTACTAGAACAGAGGGCGCCTGCTGCGACTGCTGAGCGCTCGGTTCGTTCGTTTGGAGGATTTCGTGCGTATGTGTCTGTGAGGCCAACCCGGATGGACTGAACATTTCAGATGAACCGAACTGTTGCACTCCGCTTACAGAGTACGCTTGAGACGAGGCGCTCGGAAAATCGATCGGGTATTGCGAGTAAAGAAGAGGATGGTTTTGCAAACCGGCGCTGTAATTCAAATAAGTTAATAAGTCATTATGCTGAGATTCAGTCGCCTCGTCAGTCGTCCGTCGATTAGGTGCAGCGTCACGTCCTTCGTCAAATGTCAAATCTCGATCCGTTCGGAGCCTTTCAATAAACCGAAAGTAAAACGTCGTTACAAGTTCGTTAGTCTTCATCAGGATTCCATTGTGTTTTAGAATATTGAAAACACAAACGCTAAAACGTCGGCCCTATCATAATGTTTATTGAGTACTTTCGTGTTTTCGGGGCACTCCTAATATTTATCTTTGGTTGTAATTATCATCTGCGCTTTTGTGTTCATTTCCCAGAACGAAATAAAAGGGCAGAGGCTGAAATTAATTTGATAGTAACGCCAGATCAAAGAGTCAAATAAATCATATCGTATAGTCGCAGCCACATTCGAAGAAAGTACTAATTTACTCTAAATATTCACTGCAAGCTATTTACAATTTAAATCGGTAATTAAAACAGTCTCCGTTCCGTGCAGCCAGGAACAATTATAAAAGCGAAACCGCACTTATTTCAAATTAATCCGCATTCACGCAATTGAATTATAGAAAGTCGTTACAATATGTATTTAACCAATGAAGCAAGCTAACATTCTTGTGTGACTTTTTATTTCCACTTAGCTCCAGTCACGTCAACGAGTCGGTGAAATCAGTCCATGTTTGTGCTGAAGTATGCGTGTATCGAAGTCAATATGCCATGTCCGTCATGCTATACTAATTAAGACTAAGTATAATCGAAATTATTGCAAGAATTACACTTAATAATTGTATTTACACGTACAAATCATTAAAACACATCAAAGATGGTCGAAATTCAAGCGAGTTAATTCAAATGATATAAGTTGTATAATAGATTCGAATTTCAAAAGATCTAGAAAACAAAGTGGCTTTTTACTTTTTAATCTTGTGGCTTGTGCGGTTATGAATTAAACTTTTTTTACGAAATAAATAAAAGGCACTCCTATAATTAAATATTTAACTGTAATAAATACAAATGTATATGAAGTGTTTTTTAATTTCGTCTTCACATAATTTTAATAACAACGGTGGCAGATTTCTGCGAATTTATTATAGCTGAAATGACGTCCAACTTCAAGTAAAGCGCAAACAGCATTTTTTTAATATGCATAATATTTAATTGACTCTGCAATAATTTCGATTAGTTTTTCATTTCTCCCTTTACCAGGACCATTTTTAAGTGTTACGCCATAAAGAATCTTTAGTTTTTTTTATGGGAAATGTATAAAGATTTACTTAGTATATAATTTTCTATAATATAAGACTATAGAATTGAAGTCCAAGTCCAAGTCAGGTATTGGATTGTATGATTCGGAAAGATTAATACTACCTTACTTCGTTCATTAATTGTAAAATTAATACATTTATAATAAGCGTCATTAATTTTTATATATAATTATTTTCCCAATGCAAATAGTATATATTTTATGCAAGCGATCTTAATAGTCCAATCTTTATACGTTTGCCATTTTTATATAGCACAGTACCTAGACAAGGATAAGTCAAAGAAACAAGAATACTAAAAATATATTCCAATCCATAAATTGAAAATGTTAAGATCTAACTTAGGTTTAAATAAAATTTATTTTCCTTCCAGAGCAAATAAAATTGCTTCTTAAGAAAACGTTCATCTGTCAGTGTTTTGCATCTGACGTATTAGATTCAACTCAAGTCATATCTTATAGAAGAGGAGCCCGATAGTAGATTTTTAGTTTTACTCGAGCGCGCCAGATTTATATAAGAGAATTTACATTTTATATTGACAAAATCTAGCCTATTCTATTCTAGGAAAGAACTTATCCTTATATAGATAAGTTCTTAAATGTGACTTCTATGATCCTATCTGCGACGCTCGAGTAACAGCAATTTGTTATAATGGACTCTTAGACCTCGTACACACAAGAGCATATATTCGGAGAACGTTTTAAAACATTACATAACATTAGGTGAACTTATTTAATTTTCGTCCCTTATGTTTTTTTTTTATCATTCTCTAGTGCGTACGAAGTTGAAAAATTAAAAAGCTTTTGAAATTCTTACCCGCCAGTATAATTCTCATAGAGTTTCTTAGCGGCCATTCCGACAGTCACCAATAGAGCTAGCTTACTAGCCAAGAAAGCTTTGATGGTGATAACTGCTACCACAGCCAGGGAGAATATCGCGACTGCGGCCGACTTCATGCCGAATAAAAGAGGTATCACCGCCTGCATTACTTTGCGTTTGTGTCGCCGTCCTGAAAACACAAACTGAAACTGAACCACGCACAATAGCTCCTAACAACTGGACCCGTCAAATATAACACTTCTAACGGTTTCAAACGTGAAATATGATATCGAGTATTACTTTTCAGCACTTGTGACCACGGGGGCTATAAACACCCGAAAACTTCGTTATTAAATATAAATTTAATACCATATTTTGCATTTTAAACCGCTAAAGATGTTCAATTTAACTAGATATGACATGTTTTAATGGAATCTATATTTAAAATGTGAGATCCATTAAAGTATCGTAAATCACTTTAAAACCTGTATATTTTTCATCACTCGTGTCGCGTAACGCGATGTATGCAAGCCTTCGTAACTCTTTCGATAATAACACAATAACGTTCCGGCATATCATTTTATCTACGAAAGGAGTTGCACGTGGCATATTAACATTTTACGAATACATTCGCGTACATAATCTATTAGGGATTCTTTCCTACTTCCTAACTGGCGCGCTCGTCGGTCGCATGCTATTGCTATGATAATCAACGGGCCGGGGGTTCGATTTTCACCGTCAAGTTATAGCTATACTATAACACGTTGGTCTTCGTCTAGAAAATCTGAGTATTAAAGTAGTAATAATAATTAACTCATTCATGTATTGATAATAACAACTATTATATATACATAATTTTATCATCAACAATAAGAATCACGTGACCACGGCTGCTGCAAATCATCCGAAACGTCGGGCCGAAGTTAAAAATCATTTTTAAATAAGTTTAACTAATATATCGCGTTTTAAACCGTTAAAGTGTTTTATTTAAATGTGTACTACTCGCGTAAACTATAGACAGTATTTAAGAAATTATAGGTTTTATAACGGAAGTACGAGGACAGTCAATAAACATAAAGCTATCCAGTTTGCACTATGGTTATTATGTCATAGGAAAGTTAATTTGTGACCACCTAATATTCTATCTGTGTTACCAATAACAAATGACTATGATTTTCGAACAATGGGTTTCAAACTAACACGTGGAACAATATACCGTATCATAAAACAAAAGGCTCACACCAGGATCGTCAAACAATAAACTTCATATAAAAATTATTGTTCGTTTGATTTATTGAACCTGGGAGAATATCGCTTCTACAAAGTTGCAAAAACATGATCGTAAAAATTTATAAACTCGAATAAAATACAGTGTTATCACTACCCTTGGAGAAAAGATCTAGAATATAAAATAATAATGATTAGCATAGAATATTAAAGACGTGGAATATATATTGATATTTCTTATTGTTTATAGTAATGCCTAAGATATTTATTTTGTTTATTGGTAGCCGTCAATTTGCATATAAAATTATTTTATGCTAACGTTTTGTTTTCTCTTAACAAAACAAAAGCGTTATAAAAACAAACAAATATTTATATAATCTATTTTTGATGTGTTATCATGGAATGCTTTTCATTATAATACTTAACTGTGCTCTGATATATTCGATTACCAAATAAATACGATTTTTTTTGTTATAATTTACTATAAAACACGTATTTTAATAACCACAAAAAAAGCTGTCTTTTTGGTATTTTGTTTTTCCTGCTTGCTAAATCTTAAATTTGAGTAAAAAGATTAATATTTCATATATTTATTGATATTAAAAACTTACATAAGACGAAAAACTTTTTATCAATTAACATAACTGTTTTCAGTTACTTACTTGCAATAAGACATATGACGGTTAGATTAGTTGTCTGTTGTATTAAGTGTGATCACATCTTCAAAAGAATCGCCTAATTAGTATCCCACAAAGCCGGAATCTATAAGTATAATAGCCATAGATTCTAACGGCATGCTTTATATACATGGCAGTTAATTTAGTTTATACATCTATAATTAAAACGTTTATCTTAAAACGGATAAAATCCACTTAAGCGCAAGTAGGCGTTGCGTCCCGGAAAACACGAAATAAACATGTACCTATGAATAATAAATTAAAAGAGGAAACAAATTCCCAGCGATTCCATTGAATGGAGTGGTTTATTCCCAGCTTAAGTGATACAGAAATATACGAACATTTTCTTGTGTTTTCGTTCTACGGGTTTACGTTGGCAAACGTGTCGATGTAATGTTTGCTCGTGATAATAATTCAGGCGAATTTATTCTATTAACAAACGAGGCTGTGTTTGAATGAAAACATTCCATACTCACTTATATAAATGAATTATGATTATTGCTTCTAAATTTTAAAAGCTGTTAAAACATCAAAATAATATACTGACTTGGAACTTTTTTAATTTTAAATAAAAAATATTTTTTGATCTCCTCTTTATGGTATTGTTTCTGGCCAGTGTGCAGACATAAGAAACAATACTTTGCTCCTTTTATAGTACAAATATTAACATCTATTTTATAACACTTCAATAAGACTTATTTAGCCCATTTCAGCATCGGATACCACGAAAAGTGGGCAACCATCTTCTGGCAATCCAAGCCATTGAAATAAAACACTATAACTTTAACTTTACAATTATTTTAATTACGGCTCGATGTTTCAGATGCTTCGCAGTAGCCATATGGAGGAGAAATAATTTATAAAGTTTAACTTATACATTGCACGTTTAAAACCGTTAAAAGAGTTTTATTTAAATGTGTCCTACTCTCGTACTTAAGCAGTATTTAAGAGAGCCCTTTTTATACTGAAACGTTGCGTTGGTGAAATTTTGCCTGAAGATAGTTACAAGTAACTCAGCCGTTGAAAACATTTCACAAGATTACGTAATCGCATAACTCATTACCTTTTCCCCGGGGGGTGTTTGGGTGTATAAAATGGTTGCACTCAGCGGGTTACGAATATAACTATCTAGCTAGGGAGGACATGAAAACCCTCTCAGAGGCAGATGACGTATGCAGATTTATATCAACACAGGCTTAGACGCTGTCCACGCGTTTATATATCTTAAAATTAAGCTGTAGAGTTGTAATTTGAATGTGAATTATTCTAGGAACTTCGTTAACGGTTAGATAATAGGATGGCAGGTTATTTGTAATAAATTAGTCTGGACGTGTAATTATGGATTTGCAAATATGGTTTATTAGGATATTCCAAAATCCACAGACTGAAACCGCAATTAAACTTGACGGTTTTTTTATCTGTAGACGGTGGTTTGTTAATATCCCGATTTCTAGAAGAAGGCCAAGATATCTCGGTGGGGATCGACCCACCACCAACGAGTCAACATCAACGGATTGGAAATGAATGCAGCAAAACTGCGTTTAGTGAAAAGAGAGTTCCTAAGGCTATACATTGCATAAATAATTAAATTACGAAGTTTTATGCGTTGACTGAGAAATAAATACAATTTAGCAGAGTCACGGGGCCCTACGTTCAGGGACGACAAAAAAAATCCAATGGAAGTCTTTTTAAGTTAAGTTTACCTTTAAAAATACAAGAAAAGACGAACAATGTCATTAAGTCTACTTACTAATACGTTTTGGTGTTTTGTCCTGTGGTGCTTCTTCTTCTACCTTGCTGTTTGATTTCTTCGGAGCTTCATCCGAAACATCTGAAACGATAAACCAAAAGACATGTTTATTTTAAAATAAGATATAAGAACTTAATAAATTTTTCCATTTGGAAGAATTTTTTAAAAGTATTTCCAAAAAAAGCCACGTCTACAACATTCCTTTTTGTTGCTCCACTATATTTTTGTAAAATAAACTCTTGTACTATTCAACTTAAACACGCACACGTTGACAACGAAACCCTATGATCGTAGGTTCGACCACCCGTGATATATTATTTCTAGTGGAAATATTTTTTTTAATTTTTATTAGTGTGTTATCACATCTACGCATTAGTGACAGCAGTTTTTGTGACTGAAACGCTTTGAGGAAAAAACAACACGGTCGCGGGTTTAAGTCTCGTCTGCAACTTCTTGTATTGGAAAGAAATTTATAAAAGGACTTTTTTTTATAAGCCTTTATTTTTGCTAAAAAAAATATAGAATCCTTTTTCGTTCACACGGAAATTCAATTAAACCGTTCAAAGTTGGCGACCAGACATGTGAGTGATAGCTTTCTGCGGTTTCAGACATTTTTGTGCCTCCGCTGGGAATCGAATGCGCGAGCTCTGAAACGAGTCCAATTTGTTTATTTGAAGTTCAAAGCGATTCTAATTAAATACAAAAGTTTGCCTTTACCTATAATATTTTATTCGGCTCTGATCCCTAGAGCTCTGAATGGGTTAAAGTAAAATTTATGAAACATACCCGAGGGTATGTACCTAGGCACTCTGTGGAATAGCAATAAATTTTATGACGTAGTAAATTTTAGGTTCTATCTTCGTTTATATTAGCGCCCCTAGAGAGCGTGTTTTATGGGAAAGCGAGAGGAAATGCCGCGGATGCGTGTAGAGACACAAAATAGTTGCCTCTTTGGAATATTGTCAAACTTTTTTTGCTTTTATTAAATAATAAAAGATAAAAATATTATACCTTTTAAGCTTATAATACTTTTTAGCAAACCTAATCATAATTAAGGGACGATATGTAATGAAACTAAAAAAAATGTTAACTAATCTATGGCAGAACTAAAATTTCCATAAAATCTTCAATTTATGTATTTATAACATCCATACATATTTTCTTCTTACAGCATATTCTAATAATCAACTATTGCATATATTTCCAAAAATAAATTCTATATGCCCTACATCCGTCCGTTGCATCCGTAATTTTTATTTCAAAGATCACGACCCGACTAAAATATTTATATATTTTATTATTTCAAAATTAAATGAAATAAGTGTTTTCACTTCATGTAATATCCGGGATTCGAACTCAGGACCGTTCGCGACTAACATACTAAAATTGCTGGCTCTAATTAAATTCCTGCTTTTAATAAAGTATATCAATAGTCTCAGTACATAATATTAAGAAAATTATTCGCAGATACTTCTTACCTGTAAATAGCGTGATAAAACTACCGGCTTCTTAAGCTCATTAATCATTTTACTATCATCATCCGGACGCGAGCGTTTCCCCGTCACAATATCTAATTTTTATGGACTAGTTGCCACAGTCGCGTGCCAAACCGAAGAAAACTATCTGAATTATTCAAAAGCGTGATCCAATTGCGACGAGAAAGATTAGAGGAAATGCGCTCGACTGGAATGTTGATGTTAAGTTGCGATTCGAAAATATAGTTAGGCTTGAAAACTTTAACATTTTTCACATGTTATTGCACGTGATGGCACTATAGTTTATTCTTATTATTATTAGTTGCCGATTCAAGGCCCGCCCGTATCGTATTTTTTTAAAATTCAAAATCGATTTTTAGATTATATAGTTAGGCTGATTGATATAGTTTTTTATGATTGGATATAGAAGGAAAGACAAGCTTTGAGTCACTCAACCTGCACAACATTTCAAGATGGTTGTCTACCTATTTTGGATTTAGATATTCTAAAATCTACAGACAAACTTTAACGACATTTTTCTTCACGGCTTTTTCATTAGTGGACGGTGGCGCTTGTTCCGGAGGTAATGTCAATATTCCTACCACCCACTGTTTCACATTTAAATGAAACATTAAAATTATTTTAACTACGGTCCGAAGTTATTCAATAATAGAAATATTTTTTAATAATACACGTATTACGCGTACACAAGTAACATTTTTTAGTATTGACTTAGGTAATTTTCATTTGCAACTAACTAGGCTAATATAGACTAGTAATGATTTCAAATTATTGTTGTATGAAAAAATATATTAATTTAGTTACTTAATTGTTTTATCATGAAATTATAGAAGGAAAATTGAGAGTTTCGAAGTTGTTATTACTATTATAGCAAGGATTAATATGAAAGTAGCTCGAAATTACGGGCTTCTACTATATAATATATCTACTATCACAAATCTTAAATGCTAATCACACAATTTCCAACAAATCGAAAGTTGTTCTCACTTTCATTATTTCCGTTGGACTCAGAAAATGGTATTATAACAATTATTGGGAAAGTCGGAAAACTTAATTAACGTTGTGTACATAATGAGATATGGTCACGAAGCAATATATAATAAAGCTGTGTTTACACGGGTTCTCGTGTTATGTGGTAGAATGATCAGGTTTGTTGCTATTATTACTGTAAGTAAGGAAACTAAACGTGACATTGTGCTGGCCGAACATCTAAAGTTTTATCTAGAATCTTAGATAAAACTTAGCATGTAAGAACCTAGTATCTTTTTACTTAGGTTTAATTGGTATTTCTAAATGCACCGAAATAGACTAGCCACCCACGGCACAGGAAATCCCAATGAGGGGCCTAGTACAGCCGATAACGAAATCTAAAATATTGTTGGTAAATAAAGAATTTGTTTGTCTGCCCGAAAATCCCTTTTTCATCCATAATTTTCTCTTTATATTAAATCATGTTGTAAATAATAAAATAAATAACAATTAAAATCATTAGTTTCAGTAAAGAATCATTAGTACTAGATATTTACTTCTTATACTTAATTTTATTTAATTCAATTGTTGTTAAATCTTTCAACGTGTTTCATTTAATGCGTACCTATACCGTAAACTACAAACAATACGTATGATTAAATATAATTTGGTAGAGATTCGCTATCTCATCATTCCGCGAAATTGCTATAAAACTAAATTTATCTGTAGTACAAAGATATAAATGAGATTGTTTAAGTTATTCACTCCCAAAAAGCGTTTTTAATAACCCGTTTCAGTTGAAATTCATAATTTGAGGCAGTGTAATTCTCGATAATTTCAGCAAAGCTTCCACACTGCAAACTACTTGCAAAATCAACTCTACTCAAGTGAGGGTTGCAGGATTTAGTCTCCCGTGGGCTCTTGGAAGTTTAGTGGGTAGTGGCCAAGTTGACTGACCCCCACACTCCCCCCGCCACTTGATGTGGTCAGGCGGGGGCGTAGGTAAAGAGTCGATTCCTCCAAGTTAAAAAAAGGGTTGCTCCAGGATTTTAGTTAGGATTCAATTAATTTAAACGTGTAGCTAAAAATATTGCCTAGCTTTGCGTTAAGCACGTCTTGGGTTCGAATTCGTGGTTCAATAAATTGTTTTGGTCGTTCAGGGCACTGTCTGTATCAAGGAATTACCTGAAAAAAAAAATGTATTTGCATGAAAGCAACTGTGCTTCAGTCAGTGTATATGGTTGTAAAAATAACTGTACTATACAAGTACTCCTTAAAATAAAACAATTTAAACCGACTAGAACGCAAAATATTAGGCAGATAGTTAAAGTTTCGGGGTTTCATTTGCATGGAAGTACAATATTACTTAGTACTATTATAATTCTTTTAATAATTGTTTATAATATGTCAAATATACTTACTGTGTGTTTGATAATAAAATTTATTACTTCTTTAATTCACTTTTGTTACTTTTTCTCCTTTGATTTTATGAAGAACAAAAGAAATAAAAACATATTTTTACATACTATATTATGTACATACAGCGCCCTTTTTAAACAATACAAAAACATTACGACAATGTAGACACAGCTTTGAACAAAACCTAACCAAGCATATTTCGCCTTTTTCAACTCGTTAAGATACTATCTAATAAGTGCATACTATTATGCACTTATTATCGAGTCCAGCAACTCCAATATGGCTCTTAACGATTTCGACGAAATATTATTTTTTAAATCCAAAAATCCAAGTTCACCTTACATATATTATTCGTTTTAGATAAGTATATATGGAGATATTATGCCTTTTTTATTCAATAGATTTACTTCACTTATGGTAGTGTGATTATTAATATTAACATATTTTTTGCGAAAAAAGTCATCGGCCTGATTTGAATACCAGAGCATTGTATTGCCGTGCTCCGTTAATAGATGCACCCCTTGCGCAATTTATTTTCAACTTTAAAACTGCTATTTATAACTTCAATATTATTCTTAACTCAAATTTACGTACACAATTTGATTTGTATTCAATTTATTTTTAATTAGTTACATTTTTATTACTGGATATTTACTTCATTATGAAATTTTGAATCAAACCTTAATTTTTTTGTCAATAGAAGATAGATGCGCATGAGTATAACTTCTGAAGCTTAAATAGTTATTACTTCTTCAGTACCCACCAACCGGAAGTCGATGCATTATTTTTTTTAACTTTGCGTACGTTATTTCAAATTACGAATAAAAACATTACCTTTAGCAGTTCTGCTTTCATACACCTCCAGATCCAAGGCGTCACTCTTATCCTCGGTATTCGAGAATTTGAACGTAAAATCGCTCCAATCAAAGCTGATCGCATGACTCGTCAGTAGCCGCGTCAGGGGGTCCTTACTCCTCGCCTGCCTCGCATTTCCTATCGGTTCTATCGTGAATGTGTCGAAGAGTCTCACGGCCTTCTGCTGTCTTATACTCCTAACGAACTCCCTAGCCATATAGTCTATGCACGTCGCATTATCACTACAGTTGAGTTCGACCAGAGCTCTCGCTTGGCTCACTAGCGCAAACGTGATGAGGTAGGACAATTTCATTTTGACACAGCACAACACAGTCACCAATCCATTTGTAGGTCACTCAAGACACCACCGCCGCGGTGGTTGCTTCGTCAATGAGCCCCGGTATCGTGCGCTGATGATTTTTATCCCCGGTCACGGCAGAATGGCCACATGCTATTATTTTTTACGTGTTCCTATTTATTTGCTCGGGTAACACTTTTCTTTCCTCGCGTGCGGTTTCGTTTACTTTCCGTTAGTTAAGGATTTTAATGTACACTGTTGACACAAATTCTTTCTGATCATTTTTATTGGACGATGACGACTGTTAGTTGCGTTTCAAGTGAATCGGGCACTTATTGATTGATATATTTGTTTTTACTAATATAATTGTGCATCAAATTGTTTGTGGTGCTTTGTTGTCTTTTGTTTTTTATTTTGTTTTTAGTGGTATTACTAAAATAAGAGTGTAGAAATATTTCAATAACGTGTGTTAAGAAGATAAACTGCTGTATTTTGTTATCTGTTCTAGATAAAAATGTAGTGAATTAAAAAAGAGAAGTTTATTTACGTCATATTATCTTAGGTATATAATAAGGGCATTATTAAAACTCTCATTTGTTATTAAGAAACGATAACTTCCTGCCAACAAGAAGTTTTAATTTGAGGTAAAAATATTATATTGAAACAATATAATTAATTTTATTTTAAATACAATATTCTATTTCCAAAGTGATTGATATCAACCCTTAGGGGTCTATGACAACTTGCAAGAGGTCTCCGTCAGCGAAAAAAAATTGGGGTCTATGAAACGAAAATGGGAGACCACAATGGTGGATTAAAACACATACACGATAGTACCTATTTACTTACGTCATACTTATAATATCAAAACATATATTATTTATAAAAGTACCTATTAAGTAAAAAACAGAACAGATACAAAATGTTATTTTGAGTACATAGTTTTAATTTAAATTAAATTAATAAATGTATAAATTAATATGTAGTTTTACTTTAAGTTTTTAACTAACCTCACCTTCATTACAGTTAGACATTTACAGAAAAGCAACATCAAGTAAGAAGGGGGACTACCTAACAGAAGAAAGCATGGCAAGGGGTCTAGGAGACAAAAAGTTTTTTAACGGATTTATTTTTTAAGTTTTTTGGTAAAGTTCAATGAGAATTTAGTGCTTAGAATCCGGTGGAAGCTTAGGCAGTTGTTACGAAAAGCTTTGACCGTATTGCATGTAAAACTGACATGGAAAATAAGTCTATTAGTTATTTTATTACAATAGACGTTTTTCTTTGTGAAAATAAAACCGTCTCTTATCTTTTAAATGAGCGAGATCCAGACAACTGTTAAATGAGTGGCAATGCTATCTTTCCACAATCAATCTCTATTTTTATTAAATAAGAGATGTCATACTTTTTGCTTAGGCCGATCCAATCGACCTGCTCTGACTTCGGCCAAAACCAGAGTTATTAAATATTTATTTATACCATTATAAAACATATTATAACTCTTGTCTGTAATTCATGCGAGGAGTAGACATTTAAATAAAACCCTTTAAACTGTTTAAAACACGAAATATATTATTTAACTTATTAACAATGTATTACGACGGCGTCTCGGATGCTTTGCAGTAGCTGTGATCACAATGGGACGTCCAGCCGTAGTTAAAATAAATTATGAATAAGTTTAAGTAATTCATTTCGCGTTGTAAACGGTGTAAAGTAATTAATTTAAACAAAATCTTAAATATTATACTCTGTACTTGTTGGCATTAGACTTACTAATAATACTAACTATAGTAATTATATCACAATTGTAGTAAGTTGTAAATGACCCACGACGTTCGAATTCCCCTGGAGTGATTTTTCGGCCAGGCCAGATAAATAAACCTTACAATATCACACAGAACTTTATCTTTTCCGTGCTCCAAGGGGTTTCACAATAATATAACTGTGACGCTAACCCATATATTATTCAGTGTACTGCATTAAATCCTTCATTTTGCATATTTCACTACCCTATACTCTTATATGCATTTTGTGGCACGCAATATCAAATGAGCATGCTATCAGGTCATTACAACGATCGATATATCGATGGACAAGTATGAGGTTTGTAATATAAAAATGCAGCTCGGGTCTAATTAAAATTAAACCGTTTAAAACGCGACATATATTTGTTAGGAAGTTTTAACTACGACTTACGTTTCTTTAGCAGCCGTGGTCACGGAAGTTTAAAATAACACAATTTATAAGCAAGTGTTAAGGTTGAAAAAATACGACTATGACGTCTTGGACACTGTAGCTCAATAGGTTACAGCACCTGCACGGAGCACTGTGGATGCCGATTCAAGTCCTGCCCGTATCATATTAAAAAAAATCTATAATCGTTTTTAATTTAAAACACAGTAAACAATAATAAATTTCACCGTGGTTGATATTTTATCTTTGCGTCTTCCAAACACCCCGAAATTATAAAGACAACACTTCCTATACAGATATCGCCGGTCCAACTTTCCATTTCATTTTCCAAATACGAGGAAACAGCATTAACTTTAATTTTGTGGAAAATTAGGGGTGAAGTTACCGGAGCATCGAAATTTTCTGGTCGCGATAAAATTTTACGCTTCACTCATTTGCTGTACGGTGTGTGAACGATGAACATGAATTCTGTTGTTTTTTGAACGAAATGTATTTAAATACGTATTCTAGAGTATACAATTTAAGGTATATCTAAGTATATAATCAGAGACGTAAGTAGTAAGTAAGCTTCGAAGAGACACGATTCGAAACTGATTCTTTCAAATATTTTAAAAATTATGATCAAATTCAAATAAATTATTTAACCACAGAATACATCTACAAAATTATTCAATAATATCATTAATTACTCTAGCCAAATGGTTAAACGTGTTTCCTAAGCTTCGAATCCAGGGGAAACAAAAAATTGTTTCGGTTAGGCAGGGCACAAAAGTCTGGTCAACTACTTGCCTGTTAAAGAACGTATCAGCGAAACGACACAAAAATGTGTATGAAAGGATATGGGATTTCAGTTTTATCAAAAAAGAAATACACAAAATAGTTACACTTAACACCAAAAACCATTAATAACACCCATAAATACTTTGTTGGAGAAGGACATAACTTAGCAGCTGTTGCAAGAGGGGTATTCTAAAGACACCAAAAATTATTACGTACAACTCATTACTTACGTCTGTAGCATTGTTAACACATTTAATAAATACGAAATAGTAACGAAGTATCTACAAAACAATGTGTTTATGACGGGCTCCTTGGTTTGATCCCCATTCAAATATATTTATACATTTTCTGAAACGGGGTTTGGAAAATCTGGATATTTCAATTTTTCGTAGGAACGCCGAAATACCGCCAGCGATTCCAATGTACCGTTTCGATTTCAGAGTGTGGATTTCCGAATGTCCAAACCCAAAAATAGGTTGACGCATCTTGTTGAAATGTAATATGGCTGGGATTCCTTTGTTATAAAAAATTAGAATTAATCTTCGTTAAACCATAATAACATTATATATATATATATATATATATATATATATATATATATATATATATATATATATTTTTTTTTTTAATTGTACTTTTTAGGCAGTATCATCTAATAATTTTTTTTAAAATTTAACCATTGTATCTTTAGATAACCGCCTCTGTAGCCAAACGGCTAAACGTATTGCCTAGCATTGCGTTGAGCGCGAGAGGTCCTGAGTTCGAATCCCAGGGAAACAACTAATTGTTTCGGTCAGGCAGGGCACAGAAGTCTAATCCACTAATTGCCTGTACGAGTGAAACGGACACAGAAATGTGTTCGCATCATGCCCCACGAGGGGGAAACGAGAATTTACTTTTATCTTCTTTAGATTAATAAAATTGGGAATAATGGTACCCTAACTCTCTCTAAATTGTAACTTTATTAACTTGCGAACTAAGGAAACAACTTTGTTTTAGTGAGGAAGGATTTTCGAGGTTACCTTCTTGTAACATGCTTGTTATAACGTAATATCATCAATTAAAGGGAAGTAATATTAAACAATCGCATAGCATCAAATTATAGACTAGTTTTAATTCTTACTTATATATTTATAAATAGGAATAGATAGTACAATAGTATTTTCAAATAAAACACTTTAACGGTTTAAAACGCGTTATATTAGTTAAATTTATTTGAAAATGATGTTTAACTGCGGCCCGACGTTTCGGATGCTTTGAAGCAGCCGTGGTCATGGGGAGACTGGTAGACCGTTAAAGTGTTTTATTTAAATGTGTACTACTCGCGTAATCTATAGACAGTATTTGGTAAATAGTAGTTATTAATAAAACGTGTTGATGAAGATGGCGTTCATATATTTTGTAATAAGAGATACTCTTATATCCATACTATATATATATAATAACTATAATCAACGGGTTCAATCCCAATCAAAAAATATTGAAATTCCGACCGGTTCACGAACCATCGTCCACAGATGAAAAAGCCGTCAAGTTTCAACGCGTTTCCGGCTCAATCTGTGAATTTTCGAATATCGAACGCCAAAAATAAGTCGACAGCACATATGACCTAAAAAAAAAAAATTCTCTCGTGAAATATTATGTGTCCTTCTTTCTTATCAAATCTAAACCAAAGTATAAATGTTAATTGGAAGTTAAGGCTAATATGAATAAAGTATAATAATTTACTACACTTATAAGACGTTGAGCAGAAAAATATACTCCAATATGATATTGGTGTATATTTTTCTGGTGGATTTAGAACAGATCAGACCTAATAGTTTTACCGCGATTCGAACCCTAGACTTCCGATTATAGTAGCAATAGCGAGTAAAACTTAAATTATATATTCGAAGTGCTTATCACAGCTATTTATAATTATAACGACGAAGCAATGCGTCATGCGAACTCTAGAATTCTTCCGAGAGAATAGTCACAATACAAGTTTTAATTGAGTTTATATCCGATCAAAACTTCACCTGCGCTTTAAAACTAATATAATA